CCCATCTCCTACGAAGATAGGGTGATTCATGAAAAGAAGAAACACTTTACCATCATTCACTCAATCTCAGTTTTGTCAAAAGTGTTCCAAAATCAAAGAGCAGATGTTTATATATATATATATATATATATTATATATATATATATATATATATATATATATATATATATATATATATATATGTATATATATATTATATTAAATTATGGATTAAATTATGGGGAATCAAATACAAAATGGGAATTGACACAGTTGCTTTTTGCTGATGATACTGTGCTTATGGGAGATTCTAAAGAAAAACTGCAAAGGTTAGTGGACGAGTTTGGGATTGTGTGTAAAGGTAGAAAGTTGAAAGTGAACATAGAAAAGAGTAAGGTGATGAGGGTATCAAATGATTTAGATAAAGAAAAACTGGATATCAAATTGGGGAGGAGTATGGAAGAAGTGAAAGTTTTCAGATACTTGGGAGTTGACGTGTCGGCGGATGAATTTATGAAGGATGAGGTTAATCATAGAATTGATGAGGGGAAAAAGGTGAGTGGTGCGTTGAGGTATATGTGGAGACAAAAAACGTTATCAATGGAGGCAAAGAAGGGAATGTAAGAAAGTATAGTAGTACCAACACTCTTATATGGGTGTGAAGCTTGGGTTGTGAATGCAGCAGCGAGGAGGCGGTTGGAGGCAGTGGAGATGTCCTGTCTAAGGGCAATGTGTGGTGTAAATATTATGCAGAAAATTCGGAGTGTGGAAATTAGGAGAAGGTGTGGAGTTAATAAAAGTATTAGTCAGTGGCCTGAAGAGGGGTTGTTGAGGTGGTTTGGCCATTTAGAGAGAAAGGATCAAAGTAGAATGACATGGAGAGCGTTTAAATCTGTAGGGGAAGGAAGGCGGGTTAGGGGTCGTCCTCGAAAAGGTTGGAAGGAAGGGGTAAGGGAGGTTTTGTGGGCGAAGGGCTTGGACTTCCAGCAGGCGTGCGTGAGCGTGTTCGATAGGAGTGAATGGAGACGAATGGTATTTGGGACCTGACGAGCTCTTGGAGTGTGAGCAAGGTAATATTTAGTGGAGGGATTCAGGGAAACCGTTTATTTTTATATAGCCGGACTTGAGTCCTGGAAATGGGAAGTACAATGCCTGCACTCTAGAGGAGGGGTTCGGGATATTAGCAGTTTGGAGGGATATGTTGTGTATCTTTATACGTATATGCTTTTAAACTGTTGTGTTCTGAGCACCTTTGCAAAAACAGTGATTATGTGTGAGGTGAAAGTGTTGAATGATGAAAGTATTTTCTTTTTGGAGATTTTCTTTCTTTTTGGGTCACCCTGCCTCGGTGAGAGACGGCCAACTTGTTAAATATATATATATATATATATATAATATATATATATATATATATATATATATATATTATATATATATATATATATATGTCGTGCCGAATATGTAAAACTGGTCAATTAGCAAGAACTCATTTAAAATTAAGTCCTTTCTAAAATTTTCTCTTACAAGTTTAAAGATATATTTTTTTCATTAATGTTAATGTAAAATTTTTTAATTTTGCACCAAAAGAATCTTAGAAAACTTACCTAACCTTATTATAACACGAACAATTTATTTTAGCCTATCCCAGCTAAATATATTTTAGATTTGTTTACAGTAATTTAATACTAAACAAACACAGTGAAATACATTTTTCTCGTTAGGTTCAGAATGATTTTGGCGAAATTATTGCATACACAAATATTCACTTGTCCTATATGGCAAGATGAGCGTTGCTATATAAGCCAAGATCGCAAGTTCTGCCTATTCGGCACGATATATATAATATATATATATATATATATATATATATATATAATATATTATATAATATATATATATATATATATAAGAGATATAAGGTTTTTTAAGATTGACTAACGAGTGTCATGTATTAAATATAAAACTTATACAGGTATTTACCAAAACAACAAATTATTCACATGAAGAAAGAAATACATTCTTAGAATACTTGAGAAAGCTGACGAAAAAAAATAGAAACTAAAATTGTAAATTTATTATAAAGTAATTTGAATGTCAAAATGGAGAGGAAAATTTGATAAAAATATTGAAAAGTCTGATGGGGGGAAATATTAAAAATATAAATGTGCTGAGTAGTTTCCTATCATAAATATTCGTTTTTAAGAATGAGCTTGTGGAAAAATATATATTGGAAGGTTTTAATGGAAATGTTTATGATGGCGCAAGTTGGAGGCATTTAGCGGTTAATTAAGAGAGTGTGAGTGAAATGAGAGGTAATGGGGGATTGTGAGAGTGGCGGGGAAGTGGTGTGAGATGGAGTGGTGTGACAGTGGTGTGGGAGTGAGTTAAAGGGGAGCGAAGGGTGAGGTAATAAGATGTGGAAATGGTGTGGGGGTGAGTTAATGTGAGAGGTGCGAGTGTGGAAGAAGTGTGGGAATGTGTTAGACGGGTATGAGAGAAAATTTGAGAGGCTTGGAAGAGGTGTGGGAAAGAGGTGTAAATTGGAGAGGTGTAGGAGTGAGTTGGAATTATTTTATATGCGAGTCGAAATTAACATAAAGTTCAATCATCAAAATGCGCCATCTAAAAGGAGATACCAAGAGTCAGTGTGGTACAAACTTGTATAACCTCTACAGCACCACTGGATGAAAAAGCCGTATTATTTTTGGTAGCTTGTTGGAAGTGCTCATTATTCCACTGTGTTTCTGATAAATCATCTCGTTCCGTCGTAGTCACCTCTCCTGTATATTGGTCTTATGGGTTCTCTTTGTTTCTTATTTTCACTTTCACAAAACAACAGATCACTATGCAGTCATTGTTCACTTGCTTGTACGAGAAACTCCGTAGGTTTTGTCTTTTGATGTACTACTCGCTGATTTCTATATTGCTCTCTCTAGGGAGCACCATGAAGCCTCACACCAGATGATGTGAGGCAGGTGAAGTGTGTCTCTATGACTTATGTAATGTAGATGGTGCAAAGGTGAAGTATGAGGCATAAAGAATTTGTTAATGGAAAGTATATAGCAGATGTGTAAGTGGGAATTGTGAGGTTGATAGAACGATCATCAACCATGAGAAATCTCATCTCAACAGAGACTTTACATATTTCCACTTTTGGAGAATAATATATTCATGTTAACTGTAACCTTTGTATGGCTTGATTATACTTTACACATAAGAAACCGTTGCCCTAACAAAAACTTGGTCTCAAGTTTGTACCTGTTTTTGCACGAAGATGTGTGAGGCAGAAGAGGTAAGTGTATGAGAAGTTTAAGTCAAATGGTGTGAAAAAGGTTAAGTGTGAGGCAAGAAGAGTGAGAGGTTGTCAAAGTTTGAAACCCATGAAACGTGCAGAGGGTCATGCTTGTGTTAAGTGGGTTGGGACAGAGACGCCGTGGTTTTTTTCATCCCCTCCGCCGAAGGTTTACCAAAGGCTGCGTGGACCGGCCGGAAGAGCTCTCTGGGTAATGGTTATTGATCGGTCACCTAAATGTCGGGAGGGATTCTTGGACGAGCACTGGGAGGAAAAGAGAAGGAAGAGGAAGAACAATGAGAGGTCTTAAGAGACGACCTCTGCGTCAGACAGCCCTGCGCCCTCAGGAGTGTGGCTAATGTGAAAGAGAATTTCTATCAACATATCTGTTTTCCTGTTCTAGATAATAAAAGCGAAGAAATATTTGAATCAGCGCCATCAACTAATGGAGGTTTCTGTGTTATTCTTTGTAAAAAATGGTATAAAAGGCCCCATTTATTTATGTAGAGAAACATTTCGTTACCCTATATGATGGAAAGCTGAAAACCTATTTAGTATACACCATTTCTTGAAGGGTGTTAAACCTCTGTGAAGCTAAATTAGCATAATTCTTAAAGGCCACAAATTCCAGCTGTTGCCCCCCCCCTCCCTCTTCCGTAAATTAATTATCATTTGTCGAGATGAACTTAACGAGTTTTCACGTATCACGAACGTCCTAATTTTCCCCACTAACCAACTTTTTCATGAACGTAATAACACGCTTACGGAAAATATTTCCACACGGGTCATAAATTATTGTTTGTAGGCTTAGTATTAAGTAGATATTAAGTGTAAGTATTTAGAATTAAGTGTAATAAACTGACGTTGAGTAATATTTAAAAAAATTAACGCAGTAAACTGTAGATAGGAATCATAATTTTGACTTTCCCAACATGGCTAGATTCTCCCAGATACAAAATCATGACTCCGTATAGCCCGTCATGCATAATTTCTGCGTGTCTTTTTTTTCTGAGATAATTCTCACGGTATTCCGGTGGTGAGAACCAAATTACTCAACCATCAGAGCTCGCTGGCGTCCCTCATGAATATTAATCTGAGAGTGAGCACAGTTTTCTAACAACATTGGTTGACAGCAACCAGGGCGCTCAGTCTCTCTATTGGTAAACACTTTGATCTTTTATATATAGATAGCTCTTACATACACGGCTCGCTACCTCGTACACAGTTGGCTGCAAAGTACACAGCTGGGTTCTAGACACACAGTTGGCTCCTTCTGGTACATCTGGATCCCTGCGTGTTGATGATCTTCACCTGCTTCTCACGACGGCGCGGGTCGATGGGCCATTCATCTTACAGAGGTGCGCAGTTTCTTGTGGAAACAGCCCTCCTGTCGTTTTATAATTACCACGGAACACGTGCACTCACGCTTATACACATGCTAGTGTGTGTGTGTGTGTGTGTGTTTCCCTTGGTTACAGGAACACTTCACTCTCCTCTTCCCTGCCTTTATAGTGAGAAAAACTTTATAATTTCTCAATGGTTCCTTTGGAGCCTTGTTTCCCATTTGTGTCCTTTCATTACAGACACTTCACCTGGCAAACATTATCTTTTTCCATCCCGTATATACCCTGGAGTATTTCTTATGTCGTGAACATACTCATTTTTCAGAGCAAAAACTGGACCATGAATCAGAATCAGAGTCATTCGTTCACAACACGAAAAAACTTACTTGAATTTCGTTGACTGTCTCTTGAAGGTCTTCGCAGCTGACTACTCCCTAGCAAGCCATACCACGGGCGGGATTTGAACCCGCGGTCAGAGAATCTCAAAACTCCAGACCGTCGCTTGTCCCAAGATTCTGTGGTCTGCGAGGTGTCTCGTTACCTGTAAACGAAAGTTAAATGAGAAATCTGGTGACTGAAGCCAAAGCTAATAATTGATTACTATCATACCACGTGCTTGTTGATATTAATGTGGCAAAACATTCAAAATAATCGTAAATCAAATCTACCTAACCGGGGTATTTATCCTGATTATAATTATCTTAATAATGCCCCTTGTTTAATAATAATCTACATACATGACCACCGCAAAATAAGTTTGTTTATATGACCTGTGGTCAGTTACGAAGCAGATTCTGACGCTCAGAGAAAAGGATCTATTTCTTTGCATAAGAAGTTCCCAGGTCGCCCCTCTGATTCTAGATAGTTTTGTCAGAGTTATGTGGACACGGGTGAAGGAGTTTGTAGCTCTCGACAGACATTGACTCTGTTCAAATTTCGAGCAGCTCCGATCTGCCCTCTGGTAGTAGAAAATCACAGCAATGGACTGTCTCGACTCAGGAAATCGTAATAAGACGATTGGAAACAAATCACAGAACGAGCAAGCCAGTCTTGAAACTAGCAGGCCAGTGCGCTGCCCATCGTTCCGCTAGTTTTAAAGACTGGTTTTTCGTGAGTTCGAGTCCCACCCCTTGTGCTATATGACCATTCTCACCCCCCCCCCTCTTCCCTCCATCGTGAACGTGCTTGAAAAAATACTAAATCTCTGTAATTAATATCGCTCCCAAAGCCAACGCTCTGGCATAGTACTCTCCAATTATTTTCATAATTCAATTAATTATTATTTAATCCTTTCTGAACCGATACTAAAACTTAAATCCCCAGATGAAGTGTTAGTAAATACGCCTTTTGTTGAGCTCACGGCCCGTGATACCAAGGCTTTGTTTACATTCACGATATTTCAGTTATTTACTAATTATTCGTTATTAAGCCTCAGTTTACGTAGAGAAATTTTCCCTCATATATGCCAGCATTTCTCTGGCTACATTTTCACGTCACGAATATTTTTGGATTTTGTGAATATCGTGATTCAAGCATGCAGATTAAATGAGACTGTCCGTTTTTATGGACTAGGAGAGTTAGTGTTCGCATTAGTGAAGCTGGAATGAAGCTCCAGCCAGCCAGGTTGTTCCTAAACTCTGGTGACATTATCACACATCATGTTGAATGGCAATGGCACCCCAGTGGAAATAAGTAACAGTGTTTGACATTACTGGATTATCAGAGGTTAAATCTGCATAAAAGATTTGTAGGTCAAGTACGTAATGCTTAATAAAAATGTACTCGTTTGGCCTCATAATTTCCAAGCGTTGAGTTCTTATTATCCCGTCCCTTCACACTCTCTCCCTACCCTTCCTCCACACTCTCTCTCCCTACCCTTCCTCCACACACTCTCCCTACCCTTCCTCCACACTCTCTCTCCCTACCCTTCCTCCACACTCTCTCTCCCTACCCTTCCTCCACACTCTCTCTCCCTACCCTTCCTCCACACTCTCTCCCTACCCTTCCTCCACACTCTCTCCCTACCCTTCCTCCACACACACTCTCCCTACCCTTCCTCCACACTCTCTCTCCCTACCCTTCCTCCACACTCTCTCTCCCTAATCTTCCTCCACACACTCTCTCCCTACCCTTCCTCCACACTCTCTCTCCCTACCCTTTCTCCACACACACTTTCCCTACCCTTCCTCCACACTCTCTCTCCCTACCCTTTCTCCACACACTCTCTCCCTACCCTTCCTCCACACACTCTCTCTCCCTACCCTTTCTCCACACACACACTCTCCCTACCCTTCCTCCACACTCTCTCTCCCTACCCTTTCTCCACACACTCTCTCCCTACCCTTCCTCCACACTCTCTCTACCCTTCCTCCATACTCTCTCTCCCTACCCTTTCTCCACACACACTCTCCCTACCCTTCCTCCACACTCCCTCCCTTAGGGTCCCTCCACACCCTCCCTCCCTACCAATTACCTACGATTTTTTACTCAGTAGCGTTCGAACCAGCGTATTAATTATAAAATGATTTGAGCGTAAAATCTTTGACGTATTAGAGTGGTGTTATTTGATGAAGCGACTTTAATAAGGTGTAGCAGCTTTATTATGCTCCTTGCCTTATTACCTAGTTCAAAACTCTTCTTGTCACTAGCACACTTCTCTCATTTTAAGAGATATTGATGGAATTTTCTCGTGTGAGTATGCACACACACACACACACACACACACACACACACACACACATATACATATACATACATACATACATACATACATACATACATACATACATACATACATACATACATTTCATTATTATTATTATTATTATTATCTTCAAGATTGTGTGAAGGGATGGTACCAGTGTTAGTATTAGAGAGACGGGGGAGGAGAGAGAGAGAGCGGTTTTCCTTCCCTTATCTTAGCAGTTTTGTGTGCAATTTAGACCAGTTTTGAAATTTCTTATTGACAGTTCAAGACATTATTGAACATTCTATCTACCTACTGATAGATTAACAACGGTATTGACTTCATCATGAACCAGGAAACTCATGCAAAAGGGAATCCATAAAAGCATAACTTGAATCCTTACATCAATAATTCGCGAATATGCATTTCAGACTTCAGAAAATAGCACGATGCATTCAGATTTTGAGTTCTTTAGAGCAAGTTACATGTAACGGGAGATATTTGCACTTTCTATAACTAGTTTCTACAGTCTTGAAAGCAACGGTTATGGTAAATATTTCAGCTACCAAGTTCAGTTCTGCGTCACTGTTCAGTTAAATTATTATATCACAGCTTCCCGTTGCTGAGATAATCATCAGTATAGATAATCTGTGTGACGTTCTCAGTCAGCAGAATTTGTGTGTTCGAGTCGAGGCCGCTGAGTTTAGAAGTGTATACGAGATTAGGTTTTTGCGTGATTTTTTTCTTAGCAATGGGAGGAGGTGGTTTTTTTTTAGCATGGTTTCTGAAAATTCTGAACTTTCTAATTTGGTATACTTGAGGTAATGCAAAACATTTTATTGTATTAAGGACCCCAATGGAAATAAGTCACTCTGATTTTTTTGGGATATCCCAGGTTCTCTACACATATGCTACTATGTATGATAAATAATCAATGTACGTAACTGTATTTGTGTATAATTAATAAACTGTGTGTATGGCTGTTATAATAGTCCATGGTGATTAGCTTGTTTCATAACATATTTGCCTTAATTATCTATAGACTTATTTAATCCTAAACATTACGTAACAGCGTCAGTCATAACACCAGATAGATTTTCGCTGGTCATATATTCATACCATCGCATTCTCTTCTGTATCTCTTACATGTACCTTCTATCCTCTTACTCATGTTCCTTAATTCTTCACACTTCGTCTACGACTTCCATCCCACTTCTCTTGCCGAGCTTCCAAGCTCCTTGTCACTTTTTTCTTGTTGTCCTTAAGCCATCTTACACATATTTCCAACCTCACATTTAGCTTCCCAATACACTACTTCCTTCATCACTGTTTACTTCTGCTGTCTCCTCGTCACTTCCAGTATCGCTCTGAAGCCTCTCTCAAGGTCCTCGAAGCCTCACCTCTGCACCCAGTCCGAAAATGTTGAATCTTGCAGTTCACACTTCAGCACACTCACGATGATGTGTTAAAGGTAAGAGCATATACACCGACAGGTGTGTGTTTCTAAAGATTTATACACCTTGAGGTGTGCATTTCTAATGAATTATATACCGGGAGGAATGTATTTGAGTATGTATTTCTGAGTTTATACACTTAGCATTAAGAGTAATTCTCACTGTCTATACAACTATATATATATATATATATATATATATATATATATATATATATATATATATATATATATATATATAATTTATATACATATAAATATATATATATTATATCTATATATTATATATATATAATATATATATATATTATATATATATTTTATATAATATTATAATATCCACGAACGAGTGTTTTTGAAAATTAACAATACTTCTACTGGCCGGAAATTGAACCCTCGATCCTTCAGCACTCTTCATGAGAAGCCCGCCAGATCTCCGACTCCTGAATCCACTTGGCCGTCAATGCTTCAACCTCAGGAGCCAAGTACCACCGGACATGTCACTTGGTAATTTTCATTCTCCCATTTGGGAATACGAGTCTTCACGAGCATACACATATTAATTAATGTATACACGTAACGAGTGGTGTGTTGTGTGTGTGTGTGTGTGTGTGTGTGTGTGTGTGTGGTGTGTGTGTGTGTGTGTGTGTGTGTGTGTGTGTGTGTTTGATGTGTTTGGAGCGCGTTGTGTGTGTGCGTGTGTGTGTGTGTGTGTGTGTGTGTGTATGTGTATGTGATTGTGGTGTGTGTATGTGTGTGTGTGTATGTGTGTGTGTGTGTGTGCGTGTGTGTGTGTGTGTGTGTGTGTGTGTGTGTGTGTGTGTTTTGTGTGTATATGTGTGTGTGTGTGTGAGATCATATGATGAAATCTCAGCCATGTAAGTTTTCTGCTCTCCTGTTATTTTAACTATCCCTTAATAATGTGCAGAAATCTCAAAAGCGCCAGGAATTTCACTTTCTTTTCACTGTGGTTATTTTGCATATTGTGATACTGATATCACTATAAATATAATGATATGCGTGTATTACTCACTACATATACACAGAGATGCTGTATGTGAGTCACATGTAGCCGGAAGAAGTATTTTGTATATCAGCAGAGAAGTTGATTGGTTGGTTGATTGAGCTAAAATCCTTCACAGGAGGTGTCTTAACGTCAATGAGTGGCTCTTGATCCAAGGAATGGGAGCTATGCTCCACCTCCCTGGATCAGTTTTCCCATTCCTCCTTCCCCGGGTGCTGAATTTCTCCAGTGTCAGAACTTTCACATAAGTATAATGATAACAGCAATAATAATAATAATAATAATAATAATAATAATAATAATAATAATAATAATAATAATAATAATCAAGAACGATTAACAACACTTTACAAGAAAATTTCTATTACTGATGTTCAA